TTTTGCTTCAGGTTCTGGTCTCTTCTTAATCACAGCTGATTCTTCAGCCCCAGCCAACCAGAACCTACAGATTCTCAATTCAAAATATCACAGGAACAGCCCTGATAGTCTCCACTTCCCTTTGAAGCTTCACAAGCCAGGCCTCCATCATCTACAACTCTTTCAGCATAACTTTTCCAAGCTCCACAGCAACAAACTCTGAACACGCAATGGCTTTTCTAGCCCAAGTTCCAACCACTTCCACAGTCCTCCCCAAAACACCAAGGTCAGGTCTGTCACAGCAATATTCCACTCTCTGGTATCAATTACTGTCCTAATTTATTCTTTATTGCTGGGACAAAACACTCTGACCAATACCAATTTGTGGAGGAAAGTGTTTATTTATCTTATATCTCCCAGGTCACAGTTCATCAGGGAGCCCAAGGTAGGAACTCAGGGCAGGAACCTGGAAGCAGGAGCTGGAGCACAGGCCATGGAGGAAAACTGCTTGCTGGCTTGCTCCCCTGGCCCCTGCTCAGCCTGCTTTCTTATGCAACACAGGCCTACCTGCTCAGGGGTGGCACCACCCACAGTGGGCTGGGCCCTCCCACATCACTCATCAAGAAGATGCGCTCAGATGTGGCCACAGGCCAGTCCAATAAAGGCAATTCCCCAATTGAGGATCCCTCAACCCAAGTGTGTCAAATTGACACTAAAGCTATCCAGCACAGAGGTTCACATCATATACAAACTTTGGGGAAAATATCTTTTCTTAGACTGAATTCCAACTGCATTGAGGAGATAGAAGGTCTTTTCTCATTCATTTCCATATAGTGTTAGTGCTCAATCTGAAAAAAAAAACACATGTTTAGATGCTATTTGGGATTTTGCATAAATACCTTCATTTTACAGGGTTTGATAAAAAGAATCTAAGGGTAACGTCAAATAAGAAATTATGAATCTTTTCATAATTTCAAAGAACATTCCTGTTCAGTTGTTCTATGGCAGTAGTGTCAGCATACACAAGTCCCATGCAAATTCAGGCAGAAAATACCTCAGCATAGAACAGACCTCAATCTTATCTGAAGGAATGTTAGCAACTGATTTCTGCTAGATAAAGAAGAGCTGATCTTCCTAAAACAAGGGACTCTAAATAGGCTGAGTAGACTCAGTGGACAGACTTGTACTGGGGAATGGCTGGGGGTACTGACAACACAGTGTACAGTAACAGGGATGACAGAGTATACGGGCTCCAGTGGGTGAGCTATGGGAGGGTGCCACTGGGGATGGAGATATAAATATGATTAAGATTGTTTGAGATGTTCTGTATGAATGCTTTGTAAATTCAATCTTCCCAAAGCAATTTATTCACATCCTTATAATCCTTATAAATTGCTTTATCCTGTGATTTAACTGTTCATATCCTGAATTCTGTATTATGTTTCAAATTTGCTTTGTAACTACATTAAAACCATCCATTAAAAATTATTTTAAAAAGTGAAAAAATCTGAAAAAAAAATGGTTATGCCCCCCCAAATAAATGTTGTTTTCAAAAAGAAAAAGCTTTGAGGCCAGCCCAGTCTCATAAGCAAGTTCCAAGGCAGCTGTGACTACAGGAAGACCCTGTCTCAAAAAGATTTTGCTTCATTTAAAATTACTATCTCAAATACTTCTCTTTCTGTGATGTTTATGTTATAAAGCAGGAAGAAGAGACAATTTAAAGCCATAGCCTACCTGATGGTAAAAGAAGGGAAGACCAAATTGTTGAAGTTGCTGGTCTTATGTGAATGCCTTCCTTCCTTTCAAACTTATGTTTTCCAGTAAGTACACAAATAAACTAATCCCACGATAAATATGATTAGCTAATTGGCTATTTAGTACCAGTCCATGAGTATAGAAAGCAACAGTAAATTTTGTGTTGATTACATTTGAACGCTATCTCTTAGGAATTTCAGTAGTATCCACCTTAAGAGGTGAACTAAGAGGGAACTAAATTCCCTGGGGAAGGCATTAAAGGTGGGTGTGAGCTGCCTGATGTTTGTGCTGGGAAACAAATTCAAGTCCTCTGTAAAAGCAGTAATGCTCTTAACTACTGAGCTATCTCTTCAGCCCTGCCCCCTTCACTGAGTAGTTTTAGAGTGATAGGCTATGACATAGAACTAAAAAATGAGAGAGTTAACTAAAATATAATAAGCAAAACCAATATGGTAGAAGTCATTTATTGAAAAACATTAATATTTTTGCTATAAAATTTGTAACAGGAATATTTACTGAATGTTTATTTCAATGCATAAACCTGAATGGTCCATACCGAGTACAAGACAGCAGCACTAGTTTCCCGTTATTTACATTTTATGAAAATTGTTATGTAGACCATGTGAAAAGAACTTATGATGGAGAATTGTTACATTAGAAAAATAATATTCTTGATAAAGCATTCTCAAGGAGTCCAACCATAGTTTCTGCCTCTTCAAAAAGGCAAAAGTCCCTGGAACAGCATATAACTTAATTTATAAAATACAATAACTGCTCAGACGCATATTCATTTTCTTTTGGTATGATTTTTTTTCCCACTGTAAAATTACTTTTTTTGTTGTTTTTTGTTTTATTAACGAAAACAGAAAGACTTTCAGGAAAATGTCATTTAATGATTTCAGCTATACATTACATATACAACTCTGTAGTCTAGCAACCACCATCGCTACCCCACCATTAACTTTAAACATTTGCTTGGTGATCTACTCTGCAGTTCAGCCTATTTTGAGATTTTTGTGGTCATTGACTGTGGAATCATTCCTTGGTATTCATAAGAAACAGATCAGTCACAGTATGAAGCTTTGTCTAGTTTGAGGAACTGGCTCACAATTACATTTCCACTCACAAGAAAACACCACAGATATCATTAAACCAGGCTTGGCTGGTTCATACAGGTTCCAGGCTGGCCGACCCCAACCCTCCTGTTCTTACACTGCACAGTCCTGGCCAGCTACAGATGATTTCATTTCCAGAGTTTTCCTGCCCTTCACAGTTAGGTCGTTTTAATTCCTTCAAAGGCACACAGCTTCCACCTCTTTTCCAGCGTTGCTCCCACACCAGTGAATTCCTGTTTGAACATGCGCGGCAGCCTCATCAGAAGCATTTCGATTTCATTGGCAGAGATCTGTTAGAAAGGAAGAGAAGTCATTTGTGGGAAATGGAGAGGCCCTAGGTAAAGACCTGCTTCCGGTGGAGACATTTAGTTTTCTCTTTGGCTGTCAAGCAAGAGGGGAAAGTGCTGGCATGCTGATCTTGCCTGTGAGCAGCTGGCACGGGGGTGTGGGATGAAGGGCCAGGAGGTTCATGTGGATGGGTACCTCATGGGCAGAGCCACACCTGAACAATCATCTCTGACACAAAGGCCTCCAAGCAAATCCCTCATTGCTGGTATACAGCCTCACCTGCCTAGCACAGACACTTTCTCCAACTTGTCAGGAACAGGGCCCTCTGGGGTGGGTTTCTTGCCTTTCAGTCTCTTTAAATTTCATAGGGATTAGAAACTATAAAGACTCAGGAATGAAAACTTACTCTCAAACCTAAAGCAGTGAAAATCTTGACATCCAGTCATTTAAAAAGAGTCATAAAATCCAGGCAGATTTTTTTTTTTAAGTTCAATTTTTTTTCTTAGATTTTTCTTTTTTTTAAGAGAAATTTTTTACATTCATAACTCATTTTGTTTTAAATGAAGAACAAATGAACTAGGCTCTTTCTGTCCTAACACAGCCGCTGTGCTCATTTTCCTGTGTTTGCATCCTAGGTATGCCTGGGGAATGGGTACAGTGATGTGGCAACTTTGGGGGCTGATACTCTGTTTAAAAGCTCTGTCTCCTATTGTTGGGAGCTAAATGAACCTTACAAAGATAATAAGTCTCTTTAAGCCTTAGCAAACAAGGATGATATGGAAGCTACTGGCTTAGCAGGGTTGGGTGTAATCACTGCAAAGAGATCATTTTAGAGTCTACACTTCCCATGTAACAATATTAACTTTAAAGACAACTCAAATAGACAGTGAAATTAACTGTATTTAACATTCACATGGAAAATATTCCTTGTGCATTCAATATTCCTAGGTCTATAATTTAAAACTTTAGTTAAATAGAGGCAATCCTGAAGTAGATTGTTGAAATACTGTATTATTTTTTAAAGGTGTGTGTGCGCACACGCGCACGTACTACGTGTGTATGGGTATTTGAAGAGGGTGTTGGATCCCCTGGAGTTGGAGTTATGGGTGGGTGTGAGCCACCAGACATGGGTGCTGGAAACCCAACTTGGGTCCTTTGGAAGAGTAGCAAGTGCTTTTAACCGCTGATCTCTCCAGCCCTCAATAGACTGCATTCTCAAATTTTTAGTGTGAATTATTTGAAATCGGAATACATTGTTTCACAAAATAGTGTTAGAAGGATTATTAGATTCACAAGTTGACCCACAAAAAGTGACTGAACAGATTATCAAGTTTCGGACTGATCTTGAAAAGTACCTTCTTTCCATGGGTGCCGTGAAAGCACCTTCCCCTACGTGCTCTATCTTTCTCACTATGTTCCTGTGAGGAACGTGGGGCTCATAATCACGATGTAGTGCTACATAGCTGAGGAAAGGGAGGAAACCGTGGTGAGTTACATGTATTATCAAAGAGACATTTTGGGAAGGGCCTGGGCAAGCTGGGCTTGTCAGCCACAGGAGAAACACCAAGCACCTGGGGCTCCTGTTAAAAGCTCAGCTTCCCTAGCAGCTTCTCTGGAGACCCTGGGTTAGCAGTCTGGGAATGTAGCCCAGATAATCTATTTTTAACAGCCACCCCAGGCAAGTCTTATGGTCAGGTACATTTGGGTTAAGAATAGAAGCTTCAGTCAGATACACTTGGATTGGACTCAGGGCTAGGTCTCAGACTGTTTGACCTTGGGCAGCTCATTTGATATTTGTGATGCACAGTTCCTCCATGTGTAATAGACATAATGTTACCTCCCTCAGTGCAATTGCAAGGTTTAAATCAGTGCCCAACTCAAGCAATCTCTCTTTTGCCTTTCTGTGTCTATATAGTATACTGATGGAAAACAATACTCTAGGGTGAGAAGTTCTATGGTAGGAGGGTCTGTACTCCCAAGGCACATGTGACAAGTGCAGAAGGTGTGTGGTGAAACTCAGTGCTAGGTGACCCAGCAGGCATTCGTTCTCTCTCCTCTCTACTCTCCACCTCCCTCCAGGGTCTCCCTGGAACCCCAGCTGGCCTGGAACTTGCTAGGTAAACCAGGCTGGCCCCAATCTCGCAAAAATCTACCTGCCTCTGCATCCCAAGTGCTGGGATCAACAGCATGTGCCATCACGCCTGACCTTTTATTTTTAACTGACATCTAAAAACATGAAGGCTGTACATATTAGCAGAGTAATGTGTAATGTTTAAATCAGGCTAAGTATGTCTATCTTGTCACATTGACCATTTCTTCTGGTAGATTTTCTAAAGTCTGTTTTCTGAATCTTATGGAAGAGATGATTTTACATGTTATGAGGCCAGGTTGTTCCCCTTTACAAGCTCCCTTCTTTTCTTTGTAGGAGGTTATCTTAGTCAAATTCTGGTGCTATTCATGGGATAAGCTGTCCTTCCCCAAGCCAAACAGAGGCAATGGCAAGGCAGGTGGACTGAGGTCAGCCAGCCCTCCAGAGGCTAGCTTCCAGACTATTTCCTTCATGGGAAACACAGGGAAGAAGCCTTAGGAAGGAGAGGAACAGCTGTGCTCTTTAGGCTAAAATAAATATCTGAAGCTATCATCTATGCCAGAGGCAGTGGGCTGAGGCAGCAAGTGCATGTAGCTACCCTGCAGCCAGATGGAAGAGGTCTAACAGCTCCTAAGCCAGAGACTTCTGAAAACAAGTTCTTTAATTCTTACCACAGTCTCATGCCATAGGAAAGCACTGCATAAGGAAATTGAGGGCCAAAGGCATCAGGCAACCAGTGTAGGGTAAGCCAGGCAGTGAGTATGGGACTGGTTCAGGTCTGGGCGCCTTGTTCTTATCTGGGATGTTGACTGCATGTAAGCTGGAGACTGCATGGAAAGGACTGGAAAGAACCTTTTGGGTCTGGTCTCTGTACTCATGGGAGAATGCTGGTAGTGAGGGGAGTGTGTGTAGGAGGGCTGGGTTTTCGTGTGTGAACACTAGTAGAGTGATGTCCACAACCAAAACCTGAAAATTCCCAGTGGAACTGGCTCATGTATACCTATGTCTAATACGAAGCAGCCCCCCTAAATCATTCACTAAAGCAGTAGCATATGCTGGGGAGCCTTGGCTAGCAAGTACTGCAGTGCAATGATACCTTGTTTTGCATGGTGGATTTTGACTGTGCCCAGGCCACAACCACAGAGGAAGCAAAAATGGCTTTCAGCAAAAGATGCGGCTCTCTCTGTATCAACTCATCAGAAAGCTCATGACACAAACTCACCCTTTACTTAATGGAACATAGTAACATACATGCAAAAGATTTTTCTAGTCCTGGAATCACCATTAACCAGCTCTTAGTAAGTAACCAGTGGCTTAATCTCTTTGGATCTTTTTCTGATTTGTAAGACGAGGGGTTTAACTGGGAAGAAACTCACTAAATGTTCCAAGGACTTGATCTGAGTACTGGCTTCTCATACAGTAGGGCCAGTCTTAGGATAAATCATGCAAAATGTACCTGTCCACTAGGCTGTGGCACAGGTCTCAAAACAAGATGTTTTTTTGTGCACTTTAAGTACAATACTAATGGCAATCAACATTTAAGCAATATTATGTGCCAGATACTGTTCTGAATGCATGCATGTGTGTATATGAATTTTTATTATTGTGTGTGGGAGGGCACATGTGCCACAGTGTGTGTAGAGAGGAGAGAACAACTTCGTAGAGTCTGTTCTTTATGGCTGGTCTACCCACCACTGAAATCTTTGCCAAACTGCTATATTATTATCATCTTTTGTAACCATGTGCTTAGTAACCCTTTGCTTAACTGGACTTGATTACTATAAATTTCCCTACAAACTTGAGCTACGGGCTGGCGCCATTAAGGAATAATCCAGGTGTCAGTCTACTGGTATAAACGAACTCCCTCTCCTTAACCTGACTTGGCTACTAGTCTCTTGACTACCAGAAGTATCCACAACCCTTTTCTGTAGGTTCCAGGGATTGAACGTGGGTCACCAGGCTTGCCTAGCCAACTTGCCCACATAGTCATCCAATACATCACACACACACTCTTATAGACAGTTAAACTGAGGCACAAAAACAGATAATAAGTCACTCAAGATCACATGCTTCAAGAGTGGTTAAATTTTCACAACTGCGTCTTTTGAATAGCAATTTAAGCATACCTTGGTTTTTGACAAGGTTAGAAATTAGTATAAAATTAGTATAATAGAAGCTAATTCCCTCAACTTCCAACTAGCATTTCTGTAGAGTAAGCTAAGAGCCTGATTCTGCCATAAAGATGTAACAAGTGGACAGATGCATTTCTATCCAGCACATTCTCTTCATGAGACTTTCATCTAGTTCTAGAAACTTTCCTCAAGACAGTCACCATACACACCAGGTGGAAGATCAAGAAGAAACTGCGTCTAGGTTAACGTGATTACTTTTAGACCTCCTTTCCCCTCTCCTGATGAAATGCATCTTATGGTGTTTTACAATTGGAGCTTTCAAGAGAAAGTTCAATTTGTTCTTCATTTTCTCCTGTGGCCAAGGCAGTTTTGCTTTACAAGTATCTTCCTTTATTTGCTTTGCTTCCTCCTCACTGTCCCTTCTGATCAGTATGATCTTGGGTTTCTAACACGAAAGACTGATTTGTGATAATCTGTACCAAAGGAAATAGATGAAAAGGTTCCATACAACCAAGGGACCTGTGTGGTGTTGATACTGCAGAGGAAACTTGTAATCCTTGCTGATTTTATGACTTGCTGACTTTAGCCCAAGCCCACTGCTTCCCTGTCAGGCTTCTAAGCACAAGCAGTCAGAAGTAGTCAGAAGCCAGTGTTGTTGTGATGGAACCTCCATCACAGTCAGCTTAGGGAGGCCACATGAGGAGGGCCTCTTGGTTGAGGCACTGAAAAGATGCCAGCAGAGGCTGTGCCAAGGCTGGAGAGCCAGTGAGGCCAAGTGCAA